TCCAAAGAGCAGTCAGGGTTTCCTGCCCTGTGGAAAGTCCTAGGTCCTCCCCCCTCCGTCCATGTCTAGGAAGGTGAACATCCAAACTGGCTGCTCCCACAAAGCCAGAACATGAAGTAGGATCTTCCTGTTATTTTGATAACTTTTTGGGAAGGTGACATGTCTATCCCATTTCAAACAATGAGCGAGCTAGCTTGAAATGACATGAGACTTGCAAAACCTCAAAGTCCACCCTGGTTTCAAACCTCCTCCAATAAGGACTTACCCAGTCCTTCCTAAATAGTCCCACCAACAGGGGACTAAGGGTTCAAAACTAAGAGTCTATGAGGTCATTCTCATCCAAGCCACCACTACTCTGAGCAACAACTTGAATGAGTTTCTAGTGCTTCCTAACGGGGTATTTGTCGGCTAGTTGGTGGTTACTAATCTTTCACATTGTGTGCCCAGGCTTAGGCATGACAGCTGGGGTGGAAATCAAAGAAAAAGGAAGAGGCTTGTAAGGCTACACTTGGATTGTCACAATGTCACATGCTCTAGGTTTCCACCCAGATTTCACAGGAAGAGAATGATTTTATCTTTTGGTAGAGGCGACACAGCACAGGCCTGCACTACAGTGCACACCAAGAGCACTGGGGTAGCATGGTCATTCCCGCAATCCACAAGACTAGATTCGCTTATGCTCCTCAAACAGAATTCTACAAAAAATGATTCCTATGGGCATTTTTTCTCACACAGTGACATGATATTTGGAAGTAAAAAGACTTTTTATGATTTATAAGGACTTTAAAAAGATATTTTGAAGTTAAAGACTTCAAGAAGGCTTTATCTGAGTACAATAAAATATCTTTATTTAATGACAGAAAATATGATTGAACTAGAAATGTATTTACTGACTATTCCATATTTTGTGTTTCAAATTTACTCTGTGTCAAGGTCATTTGAGAATGCAAAGTACATCTAACTACAAAGTTTAGAAAAGACTCCTAGACTGTGACATATTCAGCAAGATTCCACCTTTGAGGGTATTGAACAAATAAATCATCACTTACAGCCATTGTTAATAATTTAAGAAACGTCATTTAGTAAATTTGAAAGAGTCACTTTCTGTAAAGTTGGGCAGTGATTTCCAAGTACAAGCTGCTTGGTGACTTATAACCTGGCTTAAAAATAAAGTACTTCTTCACGGTCAATTAAAGACATTTTTTAACTGAGAAATTTTAACCATAACCCACTAACAATATGTGATGGCTATTTTCATTGTCAATTTGAATGTACCTGGAATTAACTAAAACCCCAAAACAACTGGGCACACCTGTAAGAGATTTTTGCTTCATTAAGTTAAAGTTGAAAGATCTACTTCTTATCTGGATCTTTGAAATGGAAAGACACACCTTTAATCCAGATCTTCTGAGATGAGAAGACCCACCTCTAATCTGGGCCACACCTTCTGCTGGCAGCCTATGTAAAGGACATGGAAGAAGGAAGCTTTTGTTCCTTGCCTGCTTGTTCTTGCTCTCACTAGCAAATCCATTCCTATTCAAAAGTCCAGCATATACTGAAGACCAGCTAAGACATCAAGCCTCATGAACTTAACAGCTACTGGATTCTTGGACCTTCTTCGCAGGCAGCATTGTTAGACTAGTGTCCAAGTGTATGGTCAATTTTGGAGAAAGTTCCATGAGCTGTTGAGAAAAAGATATATTCTTTTGTATTTGTGTAGAATTTTCTGTAAATATCTGTTATATCCATTTATGATTTGTTAGCTCTAGTATTTCTTTGTTTAGTTTTTGTCTGACTGTTTTGTCTATGGGTGAGAGTGGAATATTTTGAAATCACCCACTATCACGGTGTGAGGGTCATTTGCTGGACAATGGTTTTAACCTGTAAACATTTGTTTCTTGGACTTGTTTAATAAAATGCTAATTGGCCGGTAGTCAAGCAGGAATTATAGTCGAACAGCCAGGCAGGAAGTACAGGCAGGAGGATGAGAACAGGAGAATTCTGGGAAGAGGAAAGCTCATTCTACAGTTGTGACCCAGCCACAGAGCAAGCAAGATGTGACCACCTTGCCAAAAAAGGTACCAAGCCATGTGGCTAACATAGACAAGAATAATGGGCTAGTTTAAAATATAAAAATTAATTTTAAAAAAAGTCTGATCTACTAGGCTGATCAGTTTATGACTAATGTAGACAGTCATTAAGTGGCTTAAGCTATAGTAGTATTAGTATTTCTTTTTTTTTTTCTTTTTTTTTTTTTTTTTTTTTTTGGTTTTTCGAGACAGGGTTTCTCTGTAGCTTTGGTGCCTGTCCAAACTAGCTCTCGTAGACCAGGCTGACCTCGAACTCACAGAGATCTGCCTGCCTCTGCCTCCCAAGTGCTGGGATTAAAAGGCGTGCGCCACCACCGCCCAGCAAGTAGTATTTCTTTTGTGAACTTGAGTGCCCTTGTGTTTGGTTCATAGATGTTGAACATAGCAATATCCTTTTAGTGGATTTTTTTTCTTTGATGAGTATGTAGTGACCTTCCCTATCCATTTCAATTGTATTATTTGAAGTCTATTTTGTCAAACATTAAAATGGTTACACTGATTGCTTAAGTCCATTTGCTTGAAATATCTTTTTCAACCTTTTAACACTGAGGTGATATCTACCCTTGATTAAGATGTGTTTCTTGGATGCAGCAGGATGGATTCTATTTTCACAGACATTTTGTTAGTCCATGTCTTTTTATTGGGGAATTGAGACCACTGATGTTGAGAATTATCTGTGGGCAGTGTTTGTTGATTTCCATTATTTTGATGTGGTGATATGGGTCTCCTCCCCTTTCTTTTGATTTGTTGGGTCTGATACTATTTATTCCTTATGTTTTCTTGGCTGTGATTAGCCTCTTCAGGTTGAACTTTTCCTTATAGTGCTTTCTGTAGGGCTGAATTTGTAGAGAGATACTGCTTAAAGTTGGTTTTAATATGGAATCTCTCTCTCTCCTCCAACTATTGTGATCGAAGGCTTTTGTGGATATTGTAGTCTGAATTGACATTTGTGGTCTCTTAGAGTTTGTAGAACAATTTACCAGGTCCTTCTTGCTTTTAGAATCTCCATTGAGAGGTCAGGTGTTTGGTCTGCCTTTATATGTTACTTGGTCTTTTGCCCTTGAGGTTTTTAATATTCTTTTTGTTTTGTATACTTGGTGTTTTGATTATTGGGTGCCATGGGGAATTTCTTTTCTGGCCCAGTCTATTTAGTGTTCTGGATGCTTCTTGTACCCTGATAGGCACCTTTCCTTTTACATTGAGGAAATTTTCTTCTATGATTTTGTTGAAAATATTTTCTGTGCCTCTGACATTGGTTTCTTTTCCTTCATCTGTTCCTAATATCCATAGGTTTGGTCTTTAAAAAGTGTCCCAGATTTCCTGGATGTTTTGTGCCTGGGCTTTTTTAGATTTAACATTTTCTTTTGCTGAGGTTTACATTTCTGTGCTGGATATTTTTTTAAGATTTAATATTTAATTTGACTAAGGCATACATTAATCTTGTTTTCAATGACTGAGATTTCTCTTCCACCTCTTATACTCTGTTGGTGAGGTTGACCTCTAAGATTTGTGTTTGAGTTCCTAAGTTTTTCAATTTTTCACTCACTTTGTGTTTTCTTTATTGATTCTATGTCCACTTACTAGTCTTGAACTGTTTTTTTTTCATTTCATTCCACTGTTTTTATTTTGTGTGTATTTTCATAAATGTCTTTAATGTATGTATTTCTTTAATAATGTCTTCTATGAAGACTTCTGACATGTTCATAAAGACTATTTGAAGTCCTTGTCTGTGCTTCAAATATATTGCATTTCTCAGGGCTTAATGTAGTAGGGTTGCTGGACTCTGGTGGAGACATACTGTCCTAACTGTTATTGGTTGTGTTTTTATGCTGGTGTCTAGGCGCCTGGGTTTGGGGTGATTGTAATTCTAGGTGCTGATATCCCGTCTTCTTGGGTATTTTGTTCCTTAGTTTCTGTTGCCCTTGCCCTTCCTGGTTCTTAGTAAAGTGTGGTGGCCATGGGTTGTCTAGGAGGGAATGCTTCTGAGATCCTGATAAGTGTGCCCACTGTGGGGGTGATGCCCAGTTGGAATGTTCTTAGTAACAGAAACTGACAGAGATAGAGACTGGCTTGGGGAGACAGGGTAGAGAAGGTCCCTGGAAGGAGGGAAGCAGGTTCCACCATTAGGATCTGCTTTGTCTCCTAGAAATGGGGGCAAAAAGAGGAGCAGCCACAGTTGATAGTCTGCTACGGAGCTGGGGATGAGTCTGGGGATGGGATTTGGAGCAAAAGAAAGAGCATAGAGTTCTGAAGACTGTCTACCTGCTTCCCTGGCCTGTGTGGCCTATTGTTCCGCAGGGAGTGTCTCAGGAAGTTGGAGACTGGGGAGGTTGAGACAAAAGGAGGGTATGGACAAGAGGACCATAGGAAATCTGTATTTTCTTCTGAAGATGGTGGCAGGGAGGATGAGGAAACTGCAGCAGGGGTCTGCGCAGAGCTCCTGCACAGAAAGGGACTGGGTTTGGAAGAGAAGAGGAGAGTGAAGATCTGAAGGTCACATGGCTGGCATGGCTGGCAGGTTCCCAGGGAACCCATCTTAACATCTTAAAGAGAACGTTTGTTGGATGACTTAACTATATCAAGTTTTAAAATAATTATCAACAGAAATAAAGCAGCTATATATATATATATTTTTTTTTAATTCAAATAAGGTTGAGTAAACATGAGAATGGCAACATATATGTTGAAAATGGCAGTATATATATGAATTTCTACAAATAAGGCTATTAAAGAAATGCCTACATAAAATATTAAAAACAGAAATATTAAAATTGCATGGAAACAACAGAACTTAGAAACTCCCCTTTAAGCTCAGCCTCATTTTCTGATCACTTACTACATTAATGAAGACCTACACATGTCCTATTGTCTTCCAAGGTTAAATGAAATACCACATCCTAAACTGAGATTTTAGAATGAGTTATCTTTAAGTGTTTCCTGCCCTCCAGAGGTATCTGTCCTGATATCTTCACTATAGCTGCCAGCCTTATGAAGGGAAGGTACCTCTTTTACAGGAACATTGGGACTGCTTTTACATGAACATTGGGAGATTATGGTACACTGTACGGCAACATCAGCTGTTTCCCCCATAGCCAGCTCTTTCTCTGTCTGTACCCCTACATCACATCTTCTAGCCTGAAGCACACAGTTGTTACTGATTTTGTTTTGTGAGGTATGTTCTGAATTGTACTGAAACTCTGGAAATGTATCAGTATTATTTTTCACTGGAGACTCGTGAAAATTATGAATTTTGACATTGTCTTCCACAATTATGTCACCTAAATGATCTACCAACTTTTCTTGACAAAAATTATCAGCTGTTTCTGTGTCTTTCTTATTTGAATCTTCAATTTGCTGCTGGATTTGATCTTCATCTTCAGATACCTAAAAAAAAAAAGAAAGAAATCTATGGTAAGTTTTAAAAATGGTCATTTCAAAACAGTCTTTAAATTCACAGTCTAAAAATTTTTTGAAAACCAAAGAAAATTTGTTAAGTTACAAATGAAAACAGACATGATATCAAAGGCTAATTGAAGACTCTCCCACGGCTCCCAGAAAGCTATATTTTTATAAATAGGGCTGACAGCAATTGCTACTGCAGTACAAACACAGAAGAGAACTCTCTGTCTCCTTCTCGGGACTGCAGTCACAGGCCTTGCTATCCCACAACACTCTTCAGCTTCTTCTGAAGGGCAGAGAAGAAACATGTTTCCAGGGACAGCTAAGAAGTTAACCTTGTTCACTCATTGGCTCCTTAAGAGAAGCATTTCAGTCACATAACTGCTATTAGGTTTATCCACGAAAATAAAGAAAATGAAGCTATCAGATTACTGGAAATTGAGTGGTTATAATAAATACTGCAACTGTTACATAAAGGAACAAATTTTGTTGACTTCTTAACTTTATAAAAAATTTATAAAGATTAATGAAAATACCATATGGATATTGTAGTTAAAATGTATTGTTTGCTGGGATTGTAGCTCAGTAGTAGAGTGCTTGCCAAAAACGTGTGAAGCTAGCATTTCTATCACTCCAATGGTGAAGAAAAATAGAATACATATTGATTATTCAAGCTTGGAAGTAGATAGTCATTGTTTGAATAACAGAAAACTAAAATTAGGTCTAGACTTCAGTGGATGGACCTAGAAAGCAGAAGTAGCCCATGGAATCACTGAAGTCAGTTAAGCTACACTGGACAGAACAGGTCCTATGCATCTCATCTCGTCAACATAAGTGACAGCTGCACTCATATGAAGGAACACAGCTGCTGCTTTCTTAGACATATTCTGTGGGAAAAAATGAAATTAATCAAGTGACCACACACCTGAAAAACCCGAGAAAAGCATTACGAAGAAAAAGAAAGAAGCACTTTGTAAATGTAACTATGAGGCCTCATTTAGACTAGGGAGTCACTGAAGAACTCACTACAAAAATACTGACACTTGGAACACAATGAAGATGAGACCCAGGAAGCAAAATATATGAAGGAAGGGTCAAAGACCTCAGTGTGAAACGAAGAAGAAAACAGGAAGTACCCTGCAAGGTAAAAGTGTAGGAAATGACTGTCCTATTAGGACTCTATTTGTATAGTGATATTTTGTTTATAAAGCTTGCCTTATCAGAGTGCAGAGCTAAGCCACTAGTTAGCCATAGGGGCCAGGCTGTGGTGGACATTCCTTTAATCCAAGCACTCAGGAGACAGAGACAGATGGATCTGTTAGTTCAAGGCTACCGTGAACTACACAAGATTGACTCTGTCTAAAAGAGAAACAGTGCTCACACAAAGGTGATCCCAGCACTTGGGATCCCATGCCTTTAATCCCATTACTAGGGAGGTGAAAATAGAAGTGATATGGCTGGGCAGAAAGAGGAAAATGAAGCAGAAAGAGACAGAAGTTCAGGGCAGTCTGAGGATTCACAGGGACAGGATTGCCCTTTAGTCTAAGCACTAGTGGACATAAAAACTCTAGTGGCTGGTCGCTCTACTTCTCTGATTCTTCAGCTTTCATCCCTTGATAGCTGACTTGGAGTTTTTATTATTAAGGCCAATTAGAATTTGTGTTACACATTAGCTCAGGAATTAGGACCAATAATTGTCAGTTGGAACCTCATAAAACCAAAACAGAGAAGAAACTGGAAAAGCAGTCTGTGTAGATCAGGAGAATATTCGATGCAGTCAGAAGCCAGTTTTCACAGTTAGGAGCTGCTGTAAAGAGTTTAGATGGGTTAGTAAAACAGGAGCCCACTGAAGGTGGTTAACATGATTGCATTTGTATTCTTAAGATAGCAGTGAACTTTGCTACCTAAGTTGAAGCAAAAACAAAATACTAAGATTGTTTGAGAAACAACCGCAATCATTCAAAAACAAACTAGTGAGGACATAGAATTGGGCTCTAGTGAGAGAGGGTGAGAAATAGGTAAATTTTCAATTGATCAGGTAAAGGAATAACTATGGGAGGATGTTGACAGAGGTTTCTGTCCCTCCTGGTTCCACAGTCATTTAGTCCCAAAGAAACACACAGAGACCTACATTAATTATAAACTGGTTGGCTTATTAGCTCAGGCTTCTTATTAACTAACTTTTACATCTTAAATTAACCCATAATCCTTATCTACGTTAGCCACATGGCTTGGTGCCTTTATCAGTGAGGCATTCTCATCTTGCTTCCTCTGAGTCTGCGTGATGACTGCAGACTAAGCCTTTCCTCCCCAGAATTCTCCTATTCTGGTCCCCCTGTGTATACTTCCTGCCTGGCTACTGGCCAATCAGCATTTTATTAAACCAATATAAGTGACAAATCTTTACAGGTTACAATTTTATTGTCCCACAGTAGGAGGAGACAGAGTGAGGTTAACTGTTTTTCTAGGCTTCTGAAATTAACACTTAAATATACTAAAGTACTTAATGATATGGGAATTACCAGAAAAACTTAAAAGAGAATTCAGTTTGAAATTCAAAAGGGTATAGATTCTCTTAACTACCCAAGAACTGTTCAATAGAACATTTAAAAAAGGCTCAGAGCTAAAGCCATCAAGCAGCACAAGTGCCATTCTAAGGTTTGCACATCATTGCCACTTCAGGGCACAGAGTGGCAGAAGATCCCATATAGAGTTGTCATAGTATCATGTAGGGAGGACAGAGGAGAGAATGATAAAGCATTCTCTCTATGCTATGGTATAGGTGGGAAGGTAGCTAACACAGCATCCTAATGATGAAGGAGAGACAAAAACTACTTCATTTGTTTATGGTAGTTGGAACTGAAGTGAGGGCAAGTGCTCTAAGTCTCACATAAATGTTTTCGAAAGATAAAATAATTTCCATCAAGATCAGGAGTCCTTATAACCAAAGGCTCAAAGTTTGTTTGCTATTAGTCAACTTAACGCAGCTGCAGTCATCTGAAAGAGGGAACATTCACTAATTAAGGGAATGCCTCCATCAGATTTCCTGTAGGCGAGTTTATACGTTTTTTCTTTGATAAATGATAGATTGTGGCTGGTGGGGTATGAGGAGCAGCACTCTTTTAGGTGGGGTAACCCCTGGGCAGAGGTTATAAGAAAGCAGGTTGGCCGGGCGGTGGTGGCGCACGCCTTTAATCCCAGCACTCGGGAGGCAGAGGCAGGCGGATCTCTGTGAGTTCGAGGCCAGCCTGGTCTACAAGAGCTAGTTCCAGGACAGGAACCAAAAGTTACGGAGAAACCCTGTCTCGAAAAATCAAAAAAAAAAAAAAAAAAAAAAGAAAGCAGGTTGATAGCAAAAGTTTGGCTTCTTCCTTTCCAATTTGAATCCCCTTGATCTCCTTTTGTTGTCTTATAGCTAGAACTTCAAGAACTATGTTGAATAGACATGGAAAGAGTAGACAGTCTTGTCTTGTTCCTGATTTTAGTGGAATCGCTTTGAGTTTCTCTTCATTTAATTTGATGTTGGCTGTAGGCTTGCTGAATATTGCCTTTATTATATTTAGATACATTCCTTGTATCCCTAATTTCTCTAAGACCTTTATCATGAAGGGGTTTTGGATTTTGTCAAATGAGACAATCATATGGTTTTTTTCCTTTTATTTAGTTTATTTATATGGTGGATTACATTGATAGATTTTCATATGTTGAACCATCCCTGCATCTCTGGGATGAAGGTGACTTGATGATGGTGGATGATATTTTTTTGATGTGTTTATGGATTCGGTTTGCCAGTATTTTATTGAGATTTTTACATCAATGTTCATGAGTGAGACTGATTTGTAATTTTCTTTCTTGGTTGAGTCTTGGTGTGGTTTTGGTATCAGGGTAACTGTAGCCTCATAAAAAAAGTTTGGCAATGTTCCTTCTGTCAAATACTTAGTTTTACTTTTGTTTACATTTTCTGACATTGTTATATTTAAAAAATGTTTTTAACTTTGAAAATTATTTTTATGTATTTTTTATTTCCACTCTTGGCTCATTTCTTCTCAATGTAAAAAGAGAAAAAACATTTTGAAATTAATATAGCAAAAATTAATAATTCCAAAAGGAGGGGCTTACCAAATCCGAACTCGAGCTGAATGTACTCCCCATCAGTCGTGGAGAGTAGCTGGCGGACTGGCTGCTCTGCGAAGACTCCAGATCTGAAATAAAGCTTCCACTCATGAAAGATGGGACCACTCACACTCTAGCAAGGTGGAAAACATCTAAATTTCACTAACATAACAAACAGCACTTTAAGACGTGCCCAGCTTGCTTAAATTTTTGATGAGGGCAATTATTTCTGATGAAGAAAAACTGAAAAAAAGTGAGGCTTGATCTGATTCCTAGCAGTGTAATCTAAGGCATTTTCCTCATAAGGTTTGGCAAGTCCACAGGCACTGTGAGCCCAGAACCAGCAAGGAAGAAGCAAGCCTGTCTGTGCCAGGGATCCTCTCCATAATGGCATATGAAGGGCATGATGACAAAAATGAAGGCCTTCCCTTGGCTCTGGTAATTTAAGCACCTTTACACAATGTAACTCTGACTGAGGCTCTGAGAAGGTGTGGAAGGGCTGCCAGCCTGTGTGTACCTGTGTCACATCCATTGGAACAATGCACAAAATTCCTGAGTGAACGTGTAAGGAATGAGTGAAGTCCCCAGTAAATGCGAGTGGTTGGCATAAGCACAGCCATGTCAAGGACTCCAGTGTCTCAGACTCACAGAGATGGCAAACCATCCTTGCCTGTGTGCAGCACTGACGGTGTATACAGAGTGCATTGTCAGCAGCATCTTTTCCCTGATGTTCAGAGCCTCAGACTGCTCCCCCACAGAGACCTCCTACTAAAATGAAACAGACCTGCCTCCTTCCTTGTTCAGCTGCATATGAAAACCTTCCTCCTTGATTCAGGTGTCTAAAAGAAAGGCTGGCTTTCCAAGTTACTGTTGTCGTGTACTCCACAGAGTGCAGAATGCACCCAGCTTGGCTATTCTCAATGTGAGTCTGCCATTTCTTCATTCTCAGTTACCCAGTTAGGTCAGGCCCTAAAGTCATGCAGCTCGTGGCACTTCATAAATTTCTTCTGTTTAGTATTTACCTCTTTGTGCTTTGATTATTCCTTTGCTGTGTTTCAACTTGTATCTTCCAGGAAAGACTGCTCTGTCTATTCTCTCTCTATACCTACTTGGCAACACATTGGGCCCTACACTTGCCTGCTTGTTCTTACTGTTTATTCTCTTGTTTCTTCTTTCCCCATTATTTCCTCAGAACAAAAACCAAAAAAAACCTACCTCTAAACTCAATTTTCCCTCAGGACTACTCTAGTGCACCTGTCTCTGAATTTCAGGAACAAAGAGCAGTACATAGTTTCTAGCTCAAGCTGACACTGGACTGCTGTTGGATCCCTGCATCTTTACTGCAGTCCACTTCCCCCTAAACAGCAGGAAGGAACTGAAGACAACTCGCCAGGACTCAGACTAAATAAACAAAGTAAGCAAACAAACTTAGACTTGCCAAAGAAAATGAAACAATCATTAATTTTGAAGCAAAATTATAGAGGTAAAATTTAGCCAGGAAATGGAAATAACCAGAAAAAAAGAGAACCTAACAGAAAATTTGGAAATAAGAGAACCAAAAAATCAAATAGATCAGAGGGGAATAATCAACAGATAAAACCACACAAAGAAAATTTCAAAGATAGAGGACAAGTTAAGACAAAATACACTATAATACATATAAAGAAAAAGCGAGTGAACGTGACCAACATGTTCAAGAACTCTGGTACATGTACAAGAGGTAAAATCCAAGAATCCACGAGGGAGAAGAAATAACTAAGGTAAAAACTAAATTAAAAAAAATGATAGCAGAACAAATTACTAAACCCAGAGAAAGAAGTGGATATCCAAAAGTGTGAAGGATAGAATTTAAAGCCTCAAATACACATCACAGTTAAGATGTTGAAAATACAAAGAAACAACATTAAAAGCTGTAAGAGAAAATATCAATGTATACAGAAAGGCAGAAACAGCAGACCACTATCACATTTTTTGGCAGCTCGGAAAGTAATTAACTGTCAATCAGAATTACTATACTTAGAAAGATTTCTTAAAACTGGTAGAGAAATAGCCTTTTAAGATAAGCACAAAGATAACTCATGAAAACCAGGACAGTTATGCTAAAAATATTTAAAGTAAATAGAATAAGAAAAACAATCCTGATATAGGTATGAATAATTTGCATTGGTATGGATTTTAAGGTCAATTTTGTTATATGTATATGTATTTTTGATCTTGAATAAGGTGTGATTGTGTAGTTCATTTTTAAAATGTAATGTATAATTAGGAAATATAGGTTGTTGATGGATAATCATAAATAATAGTCAAGTTTGTAGTCATGTTACTTAGATTTTCTAGATATATAGAGATATATTTCAGATAGGCATTCTTCATATCTCTTAAAGGCTACAGAATATGGCATTTAAAATATTTTAATAACTTAGGACTTTTCATGACAATGAGACATGTCTGCTCCTGGCGGCACCAATCTACTTCGAGAGGAAGATGGGCATCGAAGAGGATCCTTATGGAGTTGGATAGCCATTTGGGCAAGAAACTGCTCTAGCCTGGACTGTTGCATAAAATGGACACAGAGAACCCACAGAGAGAGGACTGCTGAACTTGCCTAAAGGTGAGATGGTCTTTCGGGGTTCATGACTCATGAAAGAGTCTGCGAGACATTCTGCAGGACACAGCAGATAGTGACTGAACTGTCTTTGGAATTTCCTGCTTCATGGAAATGTCTGCTGGATACTTTGGGCCTGAAGGCTGAAGATGGATGCCCCAACGGTACAAAAGAACTTTGGGTGACTGTCCAGGCAGCGAGATGTTTCTGTCATTTCTAGAGTTTTCTTATTTCTTGTTAGGTAGTATTATATCCTTCTGGAGTCTTTGATGGAGTTGAAGAATGAATAGATAGTTATAGTTTTCCTTAGTTATGATAAAAGATAAAATAGATATAAATATTGTAACTAATTTTTGCTTGATAACTGTTTTGCTATATGTAATTTTACTATGTTAAAGTTAAAGCCTTCCTTTTTTTTGTTTAAACAGAAAAAGGGGAAGTGATGTGGGAGTGTCATATATCAATCTGTTGATTTCATTGATTAAGCAATAAAGAAACTGCTAGGCCCATTTGATAGGCCAACCCTTAGGTAGGCGGAGTAAACAGAATGGAATGCTGGGAGAAAGAAGCTGAGTCAGGGAGTCGCCATGGTTTTCCCACTCCAGACACATGCAGGTTAAGATCATTCCTGGTAAGCCAGCTCGTGGGCTACATACATTATTAGAAATGGGCTAGTCCAGGTGCGAGAGTTAACCTAGAAAACGCTAGATATAATGGGCCAAGCGGTGTTTAAAAGAATACAATTTCCGTGTAATTTGTGTAATTATTTCGGGGCATAAGCTAAAGCTAGCCATGCAGGCGGCGGGGGTGCCGGGGACGCAGCCCCGCTGCTCCTATTTCAACAGAGTGGCGCCCAAGACCCTTTCCAAAGCATCATATCCTTAGACCCAAATTTTGAAATCGTAATACCCTTATATCCATTCTGGTTTAGCTTGGCAGCCCATGTAATGAAATGTCTCTCTGTACTTAGCTCCTTCACAGTCAAAAAGCTTAAAGAAACCACAATGTACATAATCCAGACTCTCTGTGAATTTTCCATTTTTACGTGGCTTATTTTTCTTTATTTCTTTTAATCTCTTAACTATCTGTACTCTGTCTCTTTAAAGACTTTACCTTTTTTTTTTAAAGCATTAACTTTATTGTCTCTATTTTTTTTTTCTCTCTCAAGCCTACGTACAATTATCCAACACTGTGATCCATTTAGTGGTCTGTCTGAATCTGTTTTATTCTGAATCTGTAATTTTTTTACTATCCAGGAGCATTTCTTAAAATGTTAAGCAGTTCTTAAAAACTGAAGTTGCACCATGTACGGGTAATACGGTACTGCCTGTTTACTGCCAAGTCTAAACCTTAACTGTGCTGTTTTTATGGTAATTACGGTAGTTCCTGCCTGAGACCAGCACAGTTTAGCATGGCAGAGCTGAGCCAAGCTGCTCCTGCCTCAGAGCCATTTGGTGCCCCTGAGCCACACACAGTTCCAGGCACACAGCAGTCCACATTGCCATCAAGCAAGCCGTAGAGCTTTACTCCAAATGCTCCATTTAAAAGCTCTGTCTCCCACAGGAGCCAGACAGAGATCGCAATGGCGGCACAGCCCAGAAAGCCGGCATTTTAAAACAGCCAGTTTTTTCCGGCTGCTGAGTCAGGACAATTTCTTTGCGGCACGCAACCCACAAACAGCAAAAAGCTGTCTTATATTGTCTCTCTCTCCTTTTTAAGCCCTCTCAGGTTTTACGTGGAGTTCATTAGCACGTTGGGTGCCAAAATGAAGGCGGAAGTCACAAACAATGCCACACCAGTTTGGAATTATGATTAATAGGGTGGTATTTATTTAAAGGGGAAAAAACTTACAGATCACTGCCCCAGACAACAGCCCTCTATGCAACCAGGAAGGGAGTTCGCCCGCGGAGCAGGAAGTGAAGAGAGAGAGGAGAGGGAAGTGGCCGCTTTTTTAAAGGGAGAGAGACCACGCCCCAATGGGCTGGTATCTCAGCAGCTATAGGCTGGAGGAGTGGGAGGACCTCCTGCAACACAATCCCATCCATAAAAATAAAAGAAAGTAAGCCAGAAAGAAATTCATCATGTACAACCCAGTAAATTTCTTCGTTCAGGATTCAGGGAACCCAATGGAAGGAGAGGCAGGAGTAGAAGAGTCATAGGGGACAGAGGACACCAAGAAAACAAGGCCTTCTAAATCAACATGCTCAATGCACATGAACTCAGAGACTGAGGCAGCATGCACAAGGCCTGCATGGGTCTACCCCAGATGGGGTCCTAGAGCTGAAAGGGGAAGTGCACACAGCCTCCATCCCTACCCAGAAGCAATCTCCAACTGATAACCACTTGGAAATGAAAATTTAGTATTTTGGCTGGGGAGTCTCACTGGGGAAACTACTCTTCAGGGCAGGCTGCATGTCCAGAAAATGAACTCACCGGCACTATTGGAGGTTCCTTGTCTCATTATGTCATGTCAGGGACTTTCCT